GGATACCGCGTCTTTCTTCATCTGGAAATGGCGATCTAAATTAAGCGTTCAAAGTCGGTAAAATTACCAAACTAGTACTATCTTTTCCATTGATAGCAATGGTGAAAACAGAAAAGCAATTAAATGTAAGGTTTAGGAAAAAAATATGAAAATTGTCACGTACAGAACTTTGAACTAGGATTAAGCTATGAGTTGAGAGATAAAACTCAATTTTCCTTTTATTCAAAGAAGGCTGTGCAATATAATGACAGAAAACTAGATGACCCCCTCTTTATCCCTCCCGTCCCTCTCCCCCTCCCTCTCCTTCCCCTCTTCACATCCCCTCCCTATCCGACTTTTTCTCCCTCCCTTCCCCATATTATCCTCTCTCTCCCTCACCCCCATATCTCTTCCTCCCCCCATTTCCCTCTCCCTCCTGCCCCTCCAACCCTCTCTTTCCATCTCCTCCCCTTCCCCTCTCTCATCCCCCTCTCTTCCTCTACCCCTCTCCTTCACGCCCTCTCCCTCTCCGCTCTCTATCTCTCCCCTTTATCTCCCTCCCTCTTCCTTTCACCCCCTCTATCTCCCTCCCACCCCTTGTCACCCCATCTCTCTCCCTCCCACCGCCTTATCATCCCCTCTCTCTCCCTCTTCCACCCCCTTATCACCCCAATCTCTCCCTCCCAGCCCCATATAACCCTCTCCCCCTTCTCTTTCCCTCCCTCCCTCCTTCTCCATCTCCCCCCTCTGCCAACCTCTTCCTCCCCCCTCTTCCTCCATCCTCCCTACCTCACCCGCCCCCACCCCACTTTCTCTCTCCCTCTTTCTCCCTTCCCGTCCCCTCTCTCTGCGCTCTCACCCTCATCGCCTCACGCCACATGTCTATCTCTCTAATAATGTTAACTACAAAGCTATTTAAAATAGGTAAAACGATTTTGGTTGTTTTTAATTTTATTATGGCGCATTTGTTTTCACACGATCAATCCTGCTGGCTCGTCGGGTCTCATGTCCATATCAGGTCACTGCTCTTTGATGATTTCATTCATTTCCTTTATTACTTTATATAGAATAGACGTCATATAAGGATACAATGGTTGATTTTCACTTATTACAAAGTATATTTGACCACAACTCGAGCGCTCGCTGAAAGCAAACATCTATCCATCGGTTTACCAATTCTCGTGAACGGAAATTATTTGTACAATAACCGGGAAATTGAAAAATCGTCATTTCCCGACATGTGCGCTGACTGACCGATGCCGGCGACCTTCCAGAACAGACATAATGATCTATATAAATAGCCAACTCGCAGGAAGGAATGATAAATGGATCCTCTTCAAGTAACAAGATAAAAAGGATGTTCATGTTCCGTGTAAACGCTTTGCATTTTGTGTTATTTTTGTGCATGCTGCTAAATTGCTTGCGAAAAATTACGAAATAATTTGATTTGCCTGCAAAATAATTTGAAAAAAAAGTTTATCGCCGAATCATCGTTCTAATAGGCAGTAAATTATTTGCTTTCCGACAAATGCGGATGGAGATATTAGTTATCTGTCAATTATTGTCAGCATAGTTTCGACCTAATTAAAAATTCGTGCTTTCGGTAGTGCTAGTTTATTGTCCATTTATGTTCATAAAACTTATGACTGTTTGGTGTATTTTAGATGTAAGGTCTATTTAAATGATCATAATGCCTTTACATCCTATTGTTGTAGCTAGAATTGTACCATTAATACGAGATGGTCGAGGAAAACGGGAAACTGCAAGAATTGTTGGTAAGAGTCTGTAGGCTGTACAAAATATATACCAATGCTACGAGGAGGCTGGCTTAATCACGAAGAGGGAACAAAGGCATGATCGATTTTTGGTGTCCACGCGTTTGCGGAATAGGATAGTTTCTGCTATTTGGCCTCGAAATCAACTTCAAGTGGTTAGAAATGTTAATTTTAGCGAATGGACTGTTAGAACAATCATTCGTGCTATTGGATTGTCTCGACGGCATCGAATAACAAGACAAGACGTAGACTGAAATGATTATGAATGGTTTTTACCTCACTGGGTCAGATGGACGTCGTACAGTATGGAGGAGACCCGGAGAAAGATATGCCCAGGTTGTATTGATAAAATTCTTCCACATGGTGGTGGTTCGGTTATAGTTGGGGTGGGAATCAGTTGGGAAGCATGCACTTAGTTGGTCCTTATACAAAATGGCTCTCTGACAGCTAACAGGTACATTACGGAAGTCCTGGATAATCATGTTATGCCTTTAATGATGGAATTTTTATGCAGGATAATGCTAGATCCCACACGGCCAGAATTATCCGTCAATATCTGGATGAGGTGAGAATTATGCGGTTTGATTGACCATGTCTCAGTCCAGACATGAATCCCATCGAACATGTGTCGGATGAGATGGGATGAGTTGCTCATGCCGGAATGGAACAACATCGACCAAAACGTAATCCGTATTTTAATTCAAAGCATGCCTCGTCGATTACAAGCAATACAAAAACACGTTATTAATTTTCAGGTTTTCTCAATATTATTAATTGTTACTTGTCTCTTGAGTTACCAAATTAAAATTAATTGAGCGTTGTTTATAATAGACATTTTCTGTATTCCGACAAAATCATGAATCGATCATAAGATTCTCAAATTAGATCTTGAATTCGGTTAACCAAATTGAGTAGGAGAGATAATTTACCACCCATTATATCGACGATTCGATTATAAACTTTTTTTCCCAAGAAAGTTGTAATTTCTGGAGTGACCTAAATTTTTTGCTGACCATTGTATTAAAAAATTAGAAAGGAAAATCTCTAATTCGCGACAGAATTCTGATAAGTATTCATCGTTACCTTTTATTTTGATGTAAATATTTTTGATTGGGATGGGCAGTTTTCTGCTCAACAATAATCAAAAATAATAATAATTAAATGAATGTCCATAGTCCACTTTCTAGTTGAAACATAAGAAAACTCCATTCCCAAAGTTTTCTTCGCCATTTTCTGCTTGACGTAAAATTGTAATATTTAAAAAATATACATATACAACATTTTTTTAGTCGCACCTCAATTTTCATAAATGAAATCGCTATTTAGTCGTGGCTATTTGTTGAGCCATTTTTTTCAACAATGAATACACTACTTGCAAGTGTTATTTGCATACGGAAGTTGAGTTTTAACCGGGTTTGACGTCCGAGAGCGGACGCCGGGAGCGATTTTAATTTCTGCCATTTCAGCGGGTTCTGTAAATAATGCCATCTAAAATCTAGCAAAATAGCAGTCTCGTCGGCTCTGATGACAATTTACGTTGTTGGTTGAAATTTTCTGCAAAGAAGCCTCGATAATTATGAAAAGTATTTTGTTTAGTTTTGTTTCAGTATATCTATACAAAATGACTTTGGAAGCGGTCCAATAAAATGCACGGTTTGCAACAAAGATAAAAGTTTAGACATTCTTTTTTTACAAATTTTAAATTATAAGAAACAACGGAACTTTCTAGAAAATATGTATTAAAAACAAATTTATAAGAATATAATGTTGGAAATAACTTATTTAAATCTACATTTTATGTAGATTGAGCATAAATTAGAAAACTGAAAAGAGGTCCAATATGAGACAGCAATATCTACTAGCTTGTTCAGACAGTAACAAAAGTCCTGAACCATATTATTGGACTCAAAACAAATAAATCTGTTAACTAACCTTTTCAATTAAATCTATATAAAATGCCAACTGGCAAAAACTGAATGATGTTAACATTTATCCCACTACCCAAGAAAGCGAACGCGAATAATTCCTCCAAGTATAGAATTATAAGTATGATGAACCACGCTTTAAAGGCTTTTACGATTTGATCACAACATAATTGGTAAACAGTTTGGCTTCAGGAGAGGACATTGCATCAGAAAGGACTTGTTCGCAATACAGGTACTGATTTAATGAGCACGGGGCGTCAATGCAAACGGTAAACCCATGGAAATGCTACTCACAACAAAACGCTATGATTCGAGCAGAAAATACGTCAGCAGCAGCCGCAGTGTGAAAAGGGGAGTGCGCTGCATACTGTCGCTTCTCTTGTCTATTTAATGAAGCATTGGATAATATAGAGGGCGGACTTGTGGTTTAATGAAGAAATAATAAACAACTTGAGTTGAGATGTGCAGAGGATGTCGTTCTTATAGTCGATGCTACTTATAGACTGAGTGTAAAAATGATATTGGAAATCTATAGTTTACTGCAAACAGCGGAGGCAGTTACATAACTGGGCTGCTCTTTGAACAAAGATTGCGAACACTCCAGACAAATAAAATACATTTAACAAGATGCGAAATATACTCTGTTATGTCCTCTCAACCCTTCTGTATAGATGCTTTTGAGATATAGTGCTACCGCCGCATACTCAGAACTTGAACGCACCATGTGATAAATGAAACGGTCCTGCAACGCATCTCACGAGGACCAGAATTACTAGCAAATGTTAAACACAGAAAACTAAAATGCTTTGGATACATTATGCAGAACGAGAAATAGCACCTGCTCCACTCTTACAGGGAAAAATAGAAGGTCGCGTAGCAGCAGGATACAGACAATTATCGTGTAAGTAATATGGAACGATGTGGTAGCCAACGTCCATAGAGGGCAGGCATGAAAAAAAAGAACATTCAGTGAAATATTCAAATTAAAACAAAACAAAACGGTTAATAATAATTCTGTCATCCGGTTTTTCAGCTTTTAGTAATGGCTAACTGCTTAATATCAGGTACAATGGACATTTGGACAATTAAATTAAAAATTGAAATTGAAATTACAATAAAATTAAATTCGATTTAACCACATACGAAGACAAACTTTAAACTTACAAAATTTCAAATTTTCCAAGTTTACGTATTTATTATTTGCGCATGTGATTTGTGAATATAGTGACAACATTGTGTATGCAATGCAAATAACTTTAACTAAGCGCAAAGATGCTGTAAGATAAGTAAGTATAGACATAAGCTTAGCAGTAATACTTACCCCATCAGGATTATGTTTGTAAGGGGGTCCTGTGCCACAAAACTCCACCAAAACATCTTGCAATTTCTTATTTGCATCTGTAAAAAAATGTTACAAATTAGAATAATTTCCATAAAAACATTTGAATGTTACGGTAAAACAATGGTATTAAATTTCTTATAGCTTACCTATTATAAACCCAAATATATCATTCTTTTTTGTTGCATTAACGCGAAACAGGTGTAAATTCCGCAGATTGTCAATCGGGGCCTACTAGATCCGTCCGATATGTAAAGTTCAAGAGGAAGTGCCATACGTGGTTTTCTGGGATTTCGATTTTTTAGTTATATGGTGCTGATGACTTAAATAATTGTTTCCACTGAGAAGTCGCTGAATGTAGAAGCAGTTGTTCTATGTTGCACAGTACCTTTGTACAAGAAGGTCCAATTAAGGAGAGTGGATTAAAGTAAATGTAATATAAAAATGGACGTATTATATTTTTTAAAATTATGGAGATGATATACCAAAATAAATAAGAACTTGAAGTTCAGATTTTCACGAAATTATATATTTTGACATGACGATTGTTTCGACAACACCGTGTCTTTATCAAATTTTCATCACATTTGATAAACAATTGTCATGTCAAAATATATAATTTCGTGAAAATCGGAAGTTTTAGTTCTTATTTATTTTGATAAATGGATTTTCATCAAGTAAAAGCCACCTCAGTTTAATAATAAACCAAGTATGTGAGTAGGTATCTGGGCTGCGCTCCCACTGCTCTTGTATCTTTGATTCAAAATCACCACATTATATTGACAAATTGTTATAAATTGTGGAACCAGGAAATATTTAATTAAAAATATTTCTGCGTATCTTGGTTACACCTCAGCTTTTCCGTATGAATGGATAATATTTTTCCTTATCGTGATGGTAATTGGGACTACTTATCGCTACCTCACCATCTCAATCCTCTTGAATCTGTTATTAGATATTCAATTCTACATTTGATTTGATTAGTAAAACTTTGTTTAATAGGGGGTATACAATAAAATGTTATACATATTATTTAACTATAGTGGAAAAAGTTTGCCTAATTGGCCCTTTGAAAGGGAATTCTCCCTTCTACAGGAATTAGTTTGGGTCTTCGGAGCTCGATTTTCATAAAACGAAAATTGGTAAAAACGGCACATCAGTATCTAGTACGTTTAAGAGTTATAAGTTGTTTTAAAGAATTTAAAGAATTTTTACAAAATCGCTGTAACTCCCTTGTTATGGAAAATGTTGTTTTTCTATAAAAACATTTCCAAAGCAACTCTATACGTAAAATTTAATGTCTGAAATATAATACTTTTTAAGTTACGTTTGACATGACAAACGTCACAATACAAGCCGCTGGTAATAGCTCCGAAAACATCCGATTGCTCCTAAACCCGTGTGGTAATATCCCGGAAATGCCCGAAGTGGCTCGCAGCCGTTGGTAACTAAACTCACGTCGTCAAATGACACTTTCCGTAGGCTGGATCGGTTTGTAATTGGGTATTTTTGAGAAGGTAGTAGAAAAAATTGATTTTTTCCTACGGAATATTCTGTATATTTTTAAATCATTGAAAAGTACTTGAAATTTTTCAATATATACTATATTTTTTTACTACTTTGAACTAGTAGGTTTTAGACGGAGCGGCCATAATACCGAAAATAAACGCGTACTGGAATTGTCAAATTGGGAATTCGATTGTGAGTATGTTGAAAGAAAACAATCTCTTAAAGACATTTTGGAAAGATTGCGACACAATCTAATTAATAGCTTGAGAAGAAATGGCCAAAAATTATACCTCGTCCGTACAAGAAATAATAAGAGCCGTTAACTTTACGTCAGCATAAAAGTCAAAAGACACCAACAAGACTACTAGCAACTAACGTTTAATGAGATTAAAAAAAAAACATACATGCAACATAAACCAGAAAACTTCTTGGTTGAAATGGCTCTAGAAAAATAAAATCGAGTACGCGTTTTCCGTTGATTGCTTGACATGTATTTGAAAGATTAAACTGAAACCTAATGTTTATACAACCAAAATCAAAATGTGGCCCCTGCTATCTCTTTTGTTTTATGGTTACACTGTCCAAAGCTTATTTGTTCAGAGTTCAAAACTTCTATCATAAAAAATATGTCAATCGATATCAAATATGCAATATTTTTCCTTTCAATGATCCATATAAAAACGACTTCTTGGTTGAGAACTAATAAAATGTCAATTTTAGAAATATAATATTCAAGTCATTAAATCCTGCAAAAAAGTTTATATAAAATTTTCCACAAGAAACAAATTACAGCGATTTTTACAATAATGTATATTTTCGATAATCACCCTTTAACTATTATATTTTAATAAAAATCGAGGTCCAGACACACTCATTAGTGTGTGCTAGCATACTCCAAGAAAACAAATTAAAATTCGGCATCTAATTAAATAATAACACTTAATTGATAAGAACGTCATTCAAATGTGTAACAACCCAAAAGCATAATTAAGTCTCTGTCTGAATAATAAAAATCATTATCAAAATAAATAGAAGCAGTTTTGTATCTTCGCAAACTGTGATCAACAACCCTTGGCAGAGAATGTTTGCAATAGAGATTAAATAAATCGAATAAATAGTTTCCGCCGGCGATATGTGGATAGCTAATAAAATCGGAGTTATTCGATAAAACCCGAAATACGGCTAGTCCTGATAGCGGACGGCAATACGAATAAAGAAAAATTAATTCTCATCCCATGCTAGCTACGTCTGTTTCATTCTATCCAACGAAAAATAACTTAAATTTTTTGGGTAAACAATGTTTTATTTATGTCGATTTTTCTGAAAACTTCTAAAATATGAAAGGTTAACATTGTTTCGTGAACAAAAAAAAACAATTCGGGAAAGAGGGGCTACAATTTTATAGTGCAGTACAGTTCGTCGACCACAAACCAGTAAAATGCCGACTGTTCCACTATAAAATAAACATGGTGTGGTCGTATCGACGCCTAGCAAAGGTTGATTTCAAAAAGAAGCATCGAGAAAGGCAATGAAAAAGGCAGTAAAAGGATATATTGAGAAAAAGCAAAGTACTATTCATACTGTGCCTGTGGCGTTTCTGACTTTATCTGCACTAATTGGGATAGTTGGAGGCTGACGGACATAGAAGTCCGCAAAACTGCACATTTTTTGAGCACAATACTCATATTGTTTTGTTTTATACTACACCACAATCATTTATTTTTTAGTTAGTTTATGATATCGTTCCGTCATACTCATAAACAACCCATGGAAACCAACCCTATATATATATATATATATATATATATATATATATATATATATATATATATATATATATATATATATATATATATATATAATCCTTTTGAATTAATCAACAAAATTAAAGATATAAAAATCCCTTCTAACGCAACACTATTGTCTTTTGATGTACAAAACTTATTTCCCAGTATTCCACCTATGGATGTGATAGATTTAGTAGATTTTACCCTAATTCGGAAACAGGTTAATCCATTGGTGAAACAAGATTTATTAGATTGCTTAATGCTATCTTTAGACCAAAATTATTTTGAATTTAATGGACAGATTTATATCTCTAAAGAAGGTTTGATTATGTGAAACCCACTTAGTCCTTTGTTAGCCGAGATTTTTATGGATAATTTGGAAAATATCATACTAGAACATCCTTGAAGTAAAAGTTTTTTATGGTGGTATAGATACGTGGATGATATCTTTGTTTGCTTTGTTGGAACGGACAGACAATTGAATAATTTTTTAAATTACATTAATTCATTACATAATCGTATAAAATTCACTATCGAGATTGAACAGGATAACTCTATTCATTTTTTAGACTTAACTATTACAAAAGCGCAAAACAAATTAGATTTTTCAATATATCATAAACCTTCACACACGGACACAGTCATACATAATAGCTCAAATAACCCTTATACACATAAAATTTAACTCTTTTATACACAGACTTCCTTAATACGCCGCTCACGACAGAAAATTACAACAAAGAACTTATTATCATTAAACAAATTGCACTGAACATCGGCTACAATCCGTCCATTATAGATAAAAAATAAAAAACAAATACAGACAACAGTAAACTCTATTTATCCGAAACCTAATACGGAACGCGAACAATTTAAAACAATTACATACATAGGAGAACCTAGTGAAAAAGTTTCAAAACATTTGTCAAAATGTGGTTTAAAAATAGCTTTCAGAACTAACAACACAATAGGATAATATTAAAAAAACAATAAACGAAATGTCCAAAATCCCAAAAATCAGGTGTCTACAGGTTGAAATGCGGATTTTGTCTTAAAATTTATATTGGACCAACAGGTAGATCCTTCAAGAAACACATTAACGAACATAAAAGAGCGTTTAAAAACAATAGTTTAGATTCTAATTATGCTAGACACACTTAGACATAGAAAAACACATTTTTAACGACAATTTTGATATATTACATACAGCCACAAAAAGTAGAAAATTAAATTTATTGGAAGCCATGGAGATTAACAAAATGAGACATTCAAATGTATTGCTTAACGATCAATTAGATTTAACTACTTCTCCTTTATTGAACTTAAATTATCGCAACAACAGTAATTAACGTTATATGGTCAATTTTCGGTATATATAGTAGAAGGTAGTTTTTAAATATTACATTTGATAAAGACACGGTGTTGTCGCATCAATTGTCATGTCAAAATATATAATTTCGTGAAAATCTGAACTTTTAGTTCTTATTTATTTTGATAAATTGATTTTCATCAAGTAAAACCCACCTCAGTTCAATTTTCGAAACCAACCCTCTTTTTCTAATAGAGAAACAAACGTGAATAGATGGGGTACTCTACTTGTAGCTCAAATTTGAATAAATTCAGCTACCGTTCCGTATTTATCTGTACTCGTTGTTATGGTTAAAAAAAATACAAAAACGTTAATGATCAAAATAAATTCGAGATTGACACAGAAAACCGAAAAGCTACCCAATTATTTGTTTCGTTTGTGTAATTTTGGAGAA